TCACAGGGAGAGGAAAACATCGTTTTGAAGTTTTGTGTACTTTGCCTCTAACAAGAGCAGATGCTTTCTTCTTTTCTTTTCATTTTGGTTTTGTAACAGTAAAAGAAGGACACAAATGTATTAATCTCAACATGTTTTTGTCAAGAAGTAAAATTAAAAGAAAATATAGCAGAACATCATGTTCTCAATTCCACTACATTTTCTGTCATGAGCAGTCCCAGCTCTAGAAAAAAGCTCACAGGATCTGCTGTGTGCGCAGCCTCCTTAGGCATCATGACATCCTCACGACTGTTTCAGGCACCATAAAACCACCAACAGTCCAAGGCAAGAAACAGCTGCAGGCAAAGAGACCGCGAGTGCAGGCAGCAATCCCAGACCTTGAGCAAACAAAATATTAATCTGATTTTGGCTTTGTTTACTGTACATATTACTTAAAATATATAGAGAGAGATGTAGGGAAGTATTTCAAGAATAATACAGCTCCTCAGAGCATTCTTTATGGATGTGTGGGAGCAGTGGAGCAAAGCAAGCGGGCACTTTCCGCACACTCGGGAATGAGCGGCTGGCACTGCCTGCAAGCTTCAGTGGCCTCATGAGAAGTGGCAATGTGGGTACAACAGGGAAACGAGATGAGAAAGTCAAGACAAGCTGCCTACCTTGGTTATAACAGAAACGATGTAAAGGTGCACAGTGAAGGGACACCAGCTCGGGAATGATATGCTAAAACCACAACTAGGAAAAGATAACAGCACTATCTAGAAAGTAAAAGAGTGGGACAAAACAACATTCCACAAAGCTGAAGAAAGTCAATCTACTAAGGGAGATGCAGGATTAGTGCTTAGATAAGGGATCTGGCTGCACACTGCTCTTTCAGGGCTTCTGAGGAACATTTGTTTACAAGGAACAAGAGATTTTTATCCCTACATCACTAGCATGGACAAAGATTAGTTGTCTTGTCTTTATGTATTATAAATCAATAAATGTATCAGTTTCATGGAGCATTTATCTAACAGACATGCAATATTTTACAGACTTTGCTGAAAAAAGTTAAGAGCTTCCTGCAAGTTTAAAGGCCATGAGTTTGTTTAAGGTTGCATAATTTCTTTGTTAATATATAACTTCAAGATGTAAATTGAATGTGCTACATACATATCTCACTCTTAGTTACACTTCATATTATTTATTTTTGGCCCTTCCTTAAAAAATATAGTTTTCTTATTTTTTCTAGACAATATATTGGGCATGATAAGGAGAAATTATATTTACTACACAACAGAAGCCAAATCAAAAGCTTTCGATTTGACCAGCTAATAACTTCAATAATTCATATTCTGTAACGGTCGATTCCCATTTCCATTATTTTTACTGACTGACAGAGTGACAGATGTCTTACTTTAGAGATCCCAAACAGACCATTGGTATCTATTTCACCCACATCTGTTCCTAAATAGCCTTGGCAGCAGGCCACTTTGCACTCAGAATTAATTCTAAGTCCCTTACTCCTAATCACTGTTTTGATATTTCAGTGATTCCTCCTTATTGCTGTACTTAAAGAGTTATTCTACCTAAAACTATATGCACACACATGTATAAAAGTACTTTTTAATAACAAGAAGATATTATATAAACTACATATTGACCTTTTTTACTTCATTATTATAAAAGTATATATTGAATGGCATACTAATCTCAGGGCTGCTCCAGAGAGCTTACTTTCTTATTAATAAACAAATTTAAAATATTATGTTTACTTACTTACACATAAAGTATACTTATACATAGTTTTATTTGAGAGGCCTTTTATCCAGGCTACAAAGTAGGTGCCTGAGGGAAGAGCTTCGTGCACCCATTAGTCGAGCATGTCACACCCACAATCTACATTTAAAAGAAGTTTTTCAGAATGATCCAAAACCTCCAGATTTTGCACACCAGAAAAACACCAGGTCGGTGACAGTTTAGCTCCATTCCTTATCGGATAGAAATCTGACAAGAAATTGCAATTACTGTCAATCAGGAAATCCCATGGGGTCTCCAAAAAGATGCAGTTTGAATGAAGATTTCTCTTCTAATTTTTCTTTACACAGCAAATGCAAACCATATTAGAAGGCCAGCACAAAGGGCACTGAAGTAACACTATCTTTACTGAAAAGGTTCTACAAGTATATATACATACTATAATACATATATACTATTATACAAGTGATTCCCATGTCTACTCTCCTAATCCCCTACAGTTCATTAGTTTTAAGCTTTAGCCACACTGGCCAGATTCCTTTCTATCTATTCTTAAATGTAAGATATTATTTTTCCCATCACTTGGAAAAGTTTCCATCACTATAAAGCAACGCATCATACCAATGCTTATCATCTTTTCGTAACTCAAAAATCTTACATTATATTTAAACCTCTATTTCGGATAGGTTCTCTAATGTGGTTTTGAAGCAGCAAGCAGGAATTAATTGCTCTACAGTTCACAGCTCTATTATTAGTGAGCAGAGGGAGCCCTTATTTTATTTATACAGCTAACAAAAACCTCTAGGAAGCAGAAGAAAAGGGCAGAGCCAAGCGGCAGTGTGCCTGGTAACCATGCTGCCCCAGGAAAAGGGAAGCTCCACAGAGGCAGCGCAACGGGACACGGCTGGGCACACTCCAGGGTTCATTCCGGCTCTGCCTGGCTTTGGTCATGTCATTTACTTGAGAACTTTTAGCTGGAGCTTCAAATTTTGCTTAGAAGAGCCAAGACTATCAAATGTAAGACCATGTGGTGGGAACTTTAGCATTGCAGATGACGGACAAACGAGGACTTTGGCATGACCAGAAAACCTCTGGTGAACTATGGGGAGGGCAGGAAAGGGGAATAAGGAGACAGCCTAGCAGTTCTCTGACTTGCCAGTCTGGAACAACTGCCATACAAGAGAGATCTTTTCTTAAAGCAGGAGGGAAAAGTACATAGAAGTCCAGAAAACTCTTCAACTTAGCTCCCCCGGGGCAACAAGTGCTGCCCAGGCAGCCACCAACCATCTCCTGTGCCTGCCTGCAGCCCAGACCAAGCCCTGTGCTGCTGCAAAGCAAAATGAGGCATCAGCAGCGTGGTTGCTCCTGCAGCAGGACACCTCTCACCTTCAGTGCTCCCTGGTAACTGCAACAGGGCTGCGAGATGGATGGACCAAAAAAATATCCAAGCTTCAAAATACACATTTGACCTCCAGAAGTGCACCACCTTAGAAGACAACACTATTTTTTCCACTGAAACTAATAAGGGAGTCAGACATTGAAAACTTCTTGGAAACAAAACATTTAACAGCTCCATTATTATGTATACTAGTACTTCATTGTCTCTGAAAATTCAGTTTTGCAGCAGCATCTTAATCCACAAGCACCAAAGGCCCAGATCCTGATATAGCTGACATCAACTTGATAGTGCTGCTTTCCACAAGTCCTGCCATCTGCAACACGACTAACAAAAACCAAGAAAGAAGAGCTTGCAGCGTCTGAATGGGTAAACTCGGACAGAAGAGATCTTCCAAGAGTAGCAATGTCTGAACTTTCCTACTCAAAAAAAAAAAAAAAAAAAAGGGC